GACCTACGTTCTGCCTGTTTTGCTGTACAGCTTTCATATCCATGGGTTGTGACTGACCAGATCGGTGATCTGATAAAACTTGCCTTGTTGACTTCGTGAAATTCATGGCTTGGCCATATTCTGGTCATTGTTGTCGTAGACGTCGCTGTTTGTAGAAGTTGGTTAACCTCAGTCTTGCTGTCATCATCATTTTCGTCCAGGATACAGCGAAGATATAAAATTTTCGATAGTTTGAACTGACGCAAGCATCGACCTCACCAGGTAGATGTTCGCGGTCGAATTCTAAGGGCTTTGTGTTTTGTGAAAAAAATGTTATGAAACTTTTCAGTGTTTATGGTTTAGAAACGAATGCGAGATGTGCAAGCAAAGGCGTCGCGAAAGTGAGAGTCAATTAAAACATTTGCGAAAGGAGATGGGTCAACGCGAGGAGCACATCAACCAGTTGGACTGTGAAGTGCGGGCTTTGCGACAGTACAAAGAGGCAAACAACATCGATACGTTGATGAGCACCCTATCTGCAATGGAACGTAAAAACGTCCATCTGGAGACGTCCCTTTCCGCAGAAACCAGGTTGAAGCTTGACTTGTTTTCGGCTTTGGGAGACGCGAAGAGGCAATATGAAATCGCTCAGAGTAAGTTGGTGATTCGTTTTCATTCTGAAGTTTCAGGTTTTACTGTCTGTTAAAATCTGATTGCGCTGAAATGCCATTTTCAGTGTTGGCGGCATTAAAATATGCGCTAAACGTTGATCTTTATATCAGAGATCACTTGTTTGCTTGCAAGACTAGGGGTAATAAATTTCTGTCATGGCTTTGGAAAAGCTTTGCGAAACCTAAAGTCGTTTGTGTTTACAAATGCCATTTTCTGTTCAGAGCGATTATGTAAATGAACTTAAATGTGCAACGTGCATGGCGTTATTACACCGGATTTTCGTAGTGATGGCAACATTCGTTAATTTGTTGGTGCACATTTGCTTGCCGCAGATGGATTGAACGGTAGTTTTCAATTCGTCAACAGCCGGAACCGAAATCTTGTCGGCTTACGTCTTATTATTTGTTTCATAGCGTGCCCAAAACATTCACTCTACGGCGCTGGTTTGGTTCGGTTAGACCGATTTCAAACAGTCAACAACATGGCTTACTTAAAGCATTTGCCTTAACGCTTTTTTTCTTTCTCCCTGCTAGGTTGCGATTTATGAATGGCAAGGAAACCGTACTGTTTCATCTTTTGACTTAAAAGCAAGCAGTGGGTATTGTGTAAGGTTACATTAACCTTATTAGTGTAAGTCCTCATTATATTCATTTGATGGAAAAGAGAACATTATTAGACAAACATGCAACAGCGAATTTCCATCTAAGCTGTCAGCACTGTTGTCGAGATTCACATTACAAGAAAATGCTACCGCCCGCCTCTTCATATATTAACATACACGCATCCTTTGAATGGGGCAAAATCACTTTCAAGGTTGTCCACGATTGTCTTAGCTTTCACTTTGATGATATTCCAGCAGATGTGAAGTTGAGACTCTGTTACTGTTTTCTCTAAGAAACCCTAGGGCGTTCAGAGGATAAAGCGATGCCAAATTTACTGCAAACGGACGATCTAACCAGAATGCCTGAGTAAGGTCGTTCTTGTTATAGGATTGGTTTGTGCCTTTATTTGTAGGGAAGCTCTATAATCAAAGAAGAATTTAAATCGGCGCATCAGAGGTCTTCTTGCTTAACATCATGCTCCTGACATGATTAAAGATTTGGCTGACAGCGTAGCATCGATTTTATACCACCAAGTACCATCTCTTGCACGCTGCAGCTGAAGGACCAAGATGTGAAGCCAGCGTTTGCAACCGTTTTGTTCCTTCGTGACCATGACCATTAAGAAGATCTGAACAATTCGCTATCAGTTCAAGAATTCTGGAAATATTGCAATATCAAGAAAGCCATAGTCGAGGAGGTAGTTTTGTGATATAAACACGCCTAGCCTACGATGAATTGTGCATGACAGGATGATTTGATGGGAATGCAAGGATATTTACTGTTGCTTTGTCAATGTACCTGCATCTGGCGGCAGACTTTGGAATGGACAAGGCAATCTAATTTGCTTCGAAGAAGTAGACCAATATTGCGTCGTGCAGTTGCTGAAATCACATGGGCAAACCAATGGAGATCTGTTTTACTCGCGGCAGCAATGTACAACACAGCAGCAGCAGCGCACAGAGCAAGCAAAAGCCTGACGTCGAAACGAATGTCTGACGTCTTCAGCGATTTTGCAGTCCGTCCGCTTATTTTCAACTGAATCTTCTTTTGGCATATTTTATGAGTCTTTTTCTTCAGCTCAGAAAAGATACGTTGTGAAACGAACGTGATCCGTTCGTTTCGGTTTGAGTAGTCAAAGTATCATTAGTTAAACAGAGACCGTCTAACGACTGATCATAGTCTTCAGTGGCTGATCAGAGGGTTTCCGCCGTATTTTGTTTCTGCGTTGCATCTGACCCCGTAATTTA